CTTTCATTAACACCCTCATCACGCTCAGGCATATCTGTAGCGTGGGCAATTGTGGGAACAACATCCACGGTGTGGCCTAAAGATCGGGTGTCTCTGATACCATGTAAAATTAGAGAACGACTTGAGTTTATTGATCAAATTACAAGAGTATTTATACACAAATATGACAGAAGCCCTAATCTAGAATAGGAAATACATCTAGGTACAATAAAAAATACAATAATATGAATATATACTCCAATAAGTTACAATGTTGTTTAGCTTTTTAGATTTAATGAATTTATCATTCATTTTATGGCATATATAAGGTACCAACAATAGTTTTGTTGACATATAACATTTTTCAGTTTTTAATATGATTTATTGTTTATTAGTAAAAATTAAACATTCGTCTTCAAAATATGCTTAAAACAAGAAAAGGTTATTTATGAAAAATAAAAGTAACTTTTTAATTATGTTCTTCTGATATCATTTGAAAGCGATACCTTCTGGTTAGATGTAAAAGCGTGATGTGTAATTTTGAATCAATAATACTACAATAAGTACTACTTTTAACCCAAAAAATTTACAATAAGTACACTATAGTCAATGATTCGTTAAAGTTATAAGTTTTTCTAATACAAATTACTTTAACATTCCATAGTTGAAACTTTATCCCCCGATTCGTGCATCGGGGTGTGATCAGTTACTTCAAAAAAGTAACTCAATTCGAATTAAATGATTGAAAATGAAAATTATTCAAAAAGGTAGTGGACGACGATCACTAAAAGTCAAATTACATCTGCAGGTAATTAAAATAGTATACTATTATGATTTTGATTTTTTAAATACTGGCTTTTAAGAAAATCCACATAACAAGCATAAAAGGTTCGTGTTAGTTCGTCACCGTTGACAAAAAATGAAAAAAACTGACTTTTTTCAAAACATAATCAAATTTTATAAAATAAATCAATATTTCAATTTCGCTGATATTCTTTAATATCTAAAACTCATTACCTCATAATAGCAACTCATTTAGAGGTTGATTGGGTTACCCGCTACTATCCGCAAACGCTGCATTTGCAGACAGTAACGGTTGTTGACGTTTGACAACAATCATGGAAAGCGTCTTATACCGTTCTATGTCGTTCCA